AGGAGGGGGAGGAGGGGGAGGGGGAGGACTGTGCCCGTGGGAGACGGAAAGGAAAGAGGAGGAGGATCGGGTGGATGGTGTTGACCCGGGAAAGAGGGAGAAGGAGAGACATAAGCCTTTGGAGGGGCACGTCGGCGGCGAGGAGGGAGTGAAAGCGTGGAGGTGGTGGAGGAAGGAGGAGGAAAGGAGGAGGGGGAGGAGGGAGGATGCGGCGTGGAGAAGAGGCATGACCGGGCGAGAGGAAAGACGGAGTTTACAGCTGCAAGGGATGGACGGTGGAATTGGTAAAGTTTAAAAAAAGGGGCGCTGTGCATAGGTGTGGAGTGTCAGGTGTGGATGGAATGAGCACGCTGCAAGGCATGGTGAGGGGAGGCGAGACTTGATGTTCCATTGAGGGCGTTGTGGGCCTGTACCGCTCCGACGGTTTCCTTCATTGTGCACTAAACATCATGCGTCCCACACAAATACGATACTTCACAAAGACGACAAGGCAAGCAATCAGGGGTTTTGTCACGGGGGGTGCCCGTTTATCGATACCTAATGCACGGCCTCCTCTATGCGGGTAGAGAGGAGAAGCAGCGACGAAACTAGTTACTCAAAAAGATCAGGTTGGTGACACACCACCCGACGGCCGACATAATAAGCCATACGACGTGATAACACCCATGGGGTCTGTGTGCTTTGTGCTCCAAGTGCCTCAGCAAGGCCCTTTTTTCCCTTCAAGGGGAACAGAAGCGCCTGGACCGTTCCGATCTTCTCAGTGCCCCCCCGGCCTAGCACGCTTGTTTTTGGTCGCACATAAAAGTGTAAAGAAGTGTGTCTGAAGCCCAGCAGGTCGCTTTCCACTGAGATTTGGTTCTAAAGAGATGTTACACGCGGGCGCCCTTGCCTTCCGACACATGCAATACTGCGATGTGGAAAAAGAGGGGCGTCAAGACCTATTGCAGCCTATCCTCGCGCCTCATTGTTCTTCTTCCGGTCTGTCTGAGCACTGGACTGAAATTTGAGACGTCAATACTATTGAACACAGGCTGGGCATCAATTGAAAGGATGGCCATCACATTGACAGACGAATTACACGCACATCCGTGGGAGAGGTACGTGTGCTTTATAAATGCTATGCTGCTGCCATGCAACCCAGGCGATGCTCACCTCCTCATATCGGTGTCTATAACCCGCTTGTAATACACACATACATCACGTATAACGTCGAACACTGCAGGTACAGTGCCTTCGTAGGGCGTTTTCTTCCATTTTTGGTCTTTGGCATCTCCATCCTTGGGTTTATCTTACACAAAACCATCGGTACGTCGCCCTCCCGCCCCCGGGACTCCCTCTCTCCCCTCTATGCCTCCCTCATTCCCTTTTTCTCCCCCACCTTCCCGCTTTAAAAGGCGTACAAATAGCCATGTTTTTCATTTCCTTCTTCATTGCCCTCTTGGAAGCCCCCTGGGTATACGCGTTGGTGCCTGCGTGCTACCGTGTCCGGGACAAGTAGGAAGGGAGGGAGGAGGGAGGGGAGGAAAGAGGAGGCCGCCGGGGTCAAGGGGAGGAGAAACTGGAACCTCCGTCGCAAGACGAGTTGTTCTCGGCAAATTCATTGCTGCGGAGGGCGAGAAATGGGAAGACAGGGAGGAGGGAGGGGAGGGAAAAGGAGGCCAATGGGGACCACAAGGAAGCTAAGCGCCATGCTCCGTGGCAAGACGAATGATTCTCGGCGAATCATCATCCCAAGAGGATGGAAGAGGAGATTCAAAGCGTCAAAAGATGACGACGCCTGATATCCCTGCCTTTCCCCCCTCCTCCTTCCTCTCTGGCAACTCCTCCAGGCTTACCGAGGACCTCGGGTTCGACAAGGGCTGGGTCCGGGCCATCGCGTACGTGGCCTTCTCCATCATTGCCTACCTA